TTGCCGGTAAAATCACGTAGGTGGGCTTGCTTTTGGTGCCGCTCTGTTTTTATTTCCCATGAGATCATGTAGGTGGACACGTACTTAGTATTTCCTACCCTTGCTCTTTAGTTGCTGCACACCCAAGACAATCTTATCCCTCCTCTTTGAACATGTCTTTATTCTTTTCAAGGACCAACCTGCAACTCCCCCAGTCTTCAAGTCAGCCGCCTCCTTTTTTCTTATATAATAAAAGCCACACACTCCACAGGATTTCTGGCAAACCGACAAAGGACTGATAATTAGCAGAAAAATAATTGGAGGAACACAGTTCTAGCACAGCATCGTCCCCACTCCCAAGGCTGGCCCCCTCACTGCCACCCTCTATGAAATGACTTCACTGGTAGTGAACTTGGGTCCAAAAACCAACAAAAAGCAACATTTCTTCCCCCTCCACCTCCACCACCTCCACCATGTTCAATTGTCTCATTAATTGTAAACACTAACATTTAGTATTGCATATTAAAGGAAGACAAAATCAGGAATCCACTCACAGAATTGTATGTCAAAGCTACTACACCTCATAAGCATTATCTAGATACTCTCTTTTTAAAAATTTCAGAGTCAAAAGCTATATCCTCTCACTGAGACACTACACAGCTCACCCTGCTCTGCATGCTCCCTTCAGCAATGGGTAATAAACTAAACTTTTAAAACTACGAGTGTGTTCCTGCTAGTCTTTAGCTGGAGGGCCTTAAGAGGTATTACCAGCTTTTTTCACACCTGTGGAAATGATGCTCAAAGAGGTTTTAAAAATTCCAGTAGTAGCAGGATGAGAAACTAGATCTTTCTTATGTTTATGTTGATACCTGTATGACATAATATAAGACATAGTTATCCTTTCATCCCCCTACAGAAGCCCCAGCAATTGAAAATACTCAATTATTAGTTTATTCTTTTGGGTTAAGGAACTGGCCATTGTATCAAAGTAACTTAACTACTAATTCCACTTTTACCCACAGTAATGTATCAGATTAATTCCTCTTTAGTGTGGTTGAAGAGTCAGTGCAATAGCATGTTGTGATAGGGGTGTGCATGAGGCATCATCATGATGGGAAGTTCTGTGAAGCCAAGATCTACCTGGGCAGCACGGGATGTCTTACAGGCAGGGGAACTCTATGCGAGACTGGAAAAGCACTACAAATAAAATCCAACAACTTTCATTTTCTTTCCGTAGGGCCAACTTTGTATATTTCTTTATAAATTAGGAGAGAATACTGAGTTCTAACTCTAACTATAATATCCACTTGATTCTTTTTATTTTTTTGACAAGATGCTAAATTGTGTGAACTCAGTGAAATCTAATCCACTGATCTTAAAGGCTCCTCTAAAAATCAATGGTTCTATGAAAGAATGATCTTTAAATCATTACATGACATTTCTAACTATAGTTCTTAGGTCCTCATTAATAAACTGACATTTATTAAGCAGCCACCAGTGCTTAAATGTGTCTAAGTTCTGGGGAAATAAAGGCTATGGTCTCCTTGTATAGTAGTGAATATGCAGAATTCTACTTCTAAGCTTCCTGAGTATTCATTACATTAGCATATTTTGTATAATTGCTGTTGAAAGAGTAGATGTCAAAAGTTTCCAAGATAAGTGTTCACATCTATTCATCTGAATTAAGTTTTAGAAAATAGGTTGGAGTTGAGGGACAACATCAATTACTTCCTTCTGAGCTCTGAAAGCCCAGCATTGAGCTCCCACCCACAGAAGCTGCTCCATACAAATAACCACCTTAAGCTATCACTATTGCAGAATGTGGCAACACAAATACAAAGAAAGAGAATCAATATCTAGTTTGCAGACAGGAGTACCCTAGCCAGACTTTCCAATGTTATGAACTTGCACTGGGTAATAATTAGGACACATGAGCTTTATACAACATCAGTGGGGAACACAGAGAACAACAAAAACAAACAAACAAACAAACACGCCCATGAGATGCTGCTTTCCTTAACTTTTGGAGAAATTCTTTCCATCCTTATTAGGCAGAATGCTTACTCAGTGGGACTCTGGGATTCCTTCCTTGGAAATATGTAAGAAAGTAAAGGCCAGTTGGGTTAGATACCAATATTTTTTCCAATATTGAAGTTGTCTCTTTTCCACTTTGAAAAGATAAAGAAAATATTTTACATATGCTCTCTCCTCTACATATGCTTCATGCTGCTCACTCCTCGTTCCAGCCAACATATACTTTTTTTTTGCTTTTTTTCTAGATTAAAGTTGCTACCATAACTGTAATAGCAAGTTCCTTATGGGTTATATTAACATCATTCAAGGTCACTAACATCTCAATTCTTCAACCACCTAAGGTTTTACAAAAATCAGAAAGAAAAAAAAAAGGTCTTTTTAGATAGCAAGACCCAAATGAGTTAATTAAAAAAGAGGGGAGGTGCAGTGAGGCCCTGGCTACTGCCACTGGCCTGGAACTGAAACAGAAAGAAAAGCCAGATCTCTTTCTCAGGCCTCTGTTCCCACCTGTAACTGTAGAGCTAAGAGCCTTGGACCAGGAAGACAGACAAGTATAAGAAGCACCTCCAAGTAAACTCAGTCGAGGAGGAGCTAAGGTGAGACTGTTCGGGGAACTTATTTGATGTTTTTCTATCGCTCCGAACCTTCAAAGAAGTACTGAAGCAGTGAATGGGATTTTCTAATAATCTGATTTGATCCCACTTGACTGCAAAAGTATAAGTCACAGACCCAACACTTGATGGAAATGAAATATTAAACTCAACTCAATTTGAAGTAAATTTAAATACTCTCTCTTTTGCATGGGTCATTGGTCAGACCATGTGTAAAGTCTTTTTACTTCCTTTGTGCATGTGAGAGAAAGAATATGTGTGTAAATTGACAGACTGCAGAAAAGGATTAGCCAATAAATGAGTCCTAGAAACCTAAAGAAAACTTATTTTCAAGTGTGTGAAAACTGTTATATGCAATGGAATCAATGTATTAAATGTTTCTCTAGAGGTAAGATTTGGCTTAAATAATAGAAGTTAAAGGAAGCAGGAAGGACTCAGTTCAAATTTTAATTCATACACTAGTGATGAATTTAGCTGTCTATCAAGGTATTAAATTTTCCTTGGAAGTGTTCAGAGACTGAATGACCATTTTGAGAAGGAGGTTGCATTAGCTACACCTTCCAACTCTGATATCTCTTAACTTCTTAATTTTTTATTCCTTCCTTTTCAATGATGGCATACATGGAAATATCTCACGCAAGGTGTTCCCATTGTAAATATCTAGCTTAAAGCAATGATCAAGAGAAATTTATTAAAGAAATGTCACTAATTCCATAGGGAGAATTTTAAATTTGATAGTTATTGTGAAAAGTGGTAAAGCTGAATTCATATACTTGAAAACCCATTTGGCCAAAATCCAATAATATATGTTGTCTTAAGAAAAGGAAATGGATTATGAAAATGTTTCTAAAGCTTAATAAATGGGTGGCATTTCTGTTCTTTAAAAGATTGAAAGAAGGATAAGCTCATTTCTCAGGTATGATCTGTATCATTTTTTAAAGGGATTCAAGCCATTTGTTTCTAGATGGCAATACTTTTCCTACCTGTTTTTCAAATGTCCTTGACCTAATAAGCTTATGTCTTAGATGCCTATTTTACAATTCACTTTCTAAACAAATGGATTGGATTTTAATTTAATTATGAGACTTTAAGTAAATTAGCTGAGCAATTTTTACTCATATATATGTATAATATATATATATATTATATATATGTATATATATATATATATTACTTTTTTTCAGTAGTATCCCAGAGAAATACTACTACTATTTTTTTTTTTGCTAAGAAAATACATTTATTATTATTAGACTCAAACTGATTGGACTGTGTAGGAAGAATACTAATCAGGTAGAGAAAATTATAGAATGTATGTTCCTGTTACTACAAATGCCAGTTGTGAAAGCATTTCTTATTTAATCCTTACTTTGACATTTTCCTCTGTCCCTTAGCAACCCATGAACCTTACATTGACCGCATTTATATAAACAATGAACAGAGGGGACAGTGTTTAAATGTGAAAAAACAAAACATTATTTGCAAATAAAAATCCATGTTCAAATATATTTCTCAGGCAATGTTTTTTTAACTTATTTAAGGTCACCTCACATGACCAAATAAATAAGGCAGTGAAAGTCAGTAATATGTACTGTAGAGTGTGATATTTTGGCATTTCTGGACTGGATCTAAAGTATCAGTAAAAATAATTATTTTTTTTTGAAAACAGAAAATTTAAGGTAGCACATGTCATGAAGGTTGACACAACTAGTACCTATTTGGAAGTGTGAAAGCGTGGAAGGGCCACTAAGATTCATTGAGCCCCTACTGTGTGCCAGACAATTAGAAGAGACTATTTCCAATAACTCTCTGAGGTAAATCTGTGATTCCTGTTCATTTGGTGGAGGAAAATAAAGCCTAAAAAGTTAAAATTCTTGATTAAGGTCATGTATTTGGTAACATAGGTTTGTCTTTGACATTCAAACACAAGACCTTCCAATCTAAGGCCTTTGCATGGGATGTAGAAGAAGATGGCTCCTTTAATCAGACACAAATAGGCTTGGAAAAAATTCCAGTTGCTGGAATCTCAGGGGTGTGTGTTAGCCCCTGTTTGAGGAACATGACTCTACACATTTTCACTTACCTCCCTGGAGCTATGATGAGGTAAAATGAGAAAATCAACTGGGAGTCCTGTGAAGTTTTCTACTGGATGTCAGTGCAATTGTACTCTAGGTACTCACTCTGAGAAATCTAATTGCGCCGAGTGAGTTCAACACTGTAGGAATCGCACCAAGTTCAACTACATGACCGAATGGGCAGTATGTGTTTCTTTGCATACGTGGTAGGAAAACTAGCAAGAGCTGAAGAGGACTAACCTGAAAATATATAGGATAAGGAGGGTGCTACAAAACCACCTCTTCAGCCCAGCCAAGTACTCACTCTGCAAACAATCGGCGTTCAAGAGGTCCTGGCACTTTTCATGGCACTTCACTCCGCACTCCAAGCACTTCATGCCTTGCCGGGCAATGCCCCACAGGAGCCCTTCGCACTCGTAACAGTAGGTTGGTGTCGTGGCTGTCCAGACCTCAAAATTGTGTGGGGTGGTGGAAGACATGGGGTAGATCAATGCCTGCAAGGTCTTCTTGAAGACATGTATTTTCTGTGAAGAAGAGAGAAATTCCCCAGACAAGCCAAATCAATGCATTTGGAAAATTTCAACATAAAACAAACTATTTGTATCACTTTTCCCTGAAAATGCTATTTTTGACAGAGTCCCCTGATTACTGATTTAAGTGAAGACAGTGAGCACAGTAACTCTGCTCACTCACTCTTCTCTCAGTGTTCTAGGGCCCAATTCAATTATATGAACTCAAAGAACTCCCTCATCTACCAGATTGGACTGGGCTCTACTGTACTCACTTCTTGAAAAGCACTAAAGAACTCAAATTACTTGACAATGTCCATGTCCCTGCTATACTCTAATCTCAATGAGGACAAGGATGAAACCAGTCTAGTTCAAAGCTACATGGATCCTCAGAGCCTAAGCCAGTCTCAGGCTTAAATATGTTCCCAGGAAATATTAATTTAAAAAAAGAATTTATATTAATATCCTTAGTCTAGGTTCATTCATGATAAATTGTAAAGTAGATGAATTGTATTCTCAATGCTGACTCTTACCTTCTAGAATCATCCTCAGCACTCTTTTGGATCCTACCCAAGTCTCTCTAAAATGACTTTGTACCCTGCCTGACACTTCACACCTCCCCATCCCTAAACTATGTTTCTATAGTTCTTTCTGCAAAGAACTGCTTTCATTGCCTATCCTGTGGGAAAGAGCAGAACAACTAATTCACAAGAAAGGAACTGCAGCAGATAAAGGTTAAATGTGGCACACTACCATGGTAGTTTGTATTTTAAAAGGGGATAGTTTTTCATAGCATATGAAAGACTTTCTAATAACAAACCTTTGTTGGGGTGGAAAAATCTACTGAATGGGTAGATAGGAGATCTGAGACCCCTAGCATAGGACCCATCACATGATATTTCAAATGGGCTATGCTAGACAAGAACTGTCTATCATATTTCTTTCCTTTGTGCCTAAATAGTGCCTATCATTGTCCCTGGCACATAATAGGGGCATGACGTATTATTTTGTAAGTGAATGAATGTTCTGCTAAGAGTCTTATAATCTACAGAACGATTTAAGGTCTCTAAGCTTCACTTTCCTCTTTTCCCTGTCTGTCTACGGTATTATTTGAAGATCCAATTGTGTGATGGTAACATTTACAGACTTCAAAAATTGAGTAAATACTAAGTAATAGTGTTGGTGATAGATTTTTCAATCAACAAATGTCAATCAATAGAAAAAGAGGCTTATTTGGATAAGTCTTTGTCTAGACTTCTCATATCCCACTAAGCAGATCACTTCCTGAGAGAAAGACTAGCACTCCCTGAAGTTACATTTACAGGTAACTTCACACAACTGCCTGATGCATAAGAAATAGATATTTACATAAATCCTGTAAGAGCCTCACAGATAAGTAATACTAGAAGTAGGCCATTTATATTTTGCATTCATCATCCTTCAAACTCATTTTGGAATATCTTCTCACAGCATTGGAATGACCAACTTCCCATTATTTTTCAATTCCACATTATGGTAACAGCATTTTCCCCTTTCTTATTACACTAGAGGCTGATGCACAAAATTCATGCAAGAGTAGGCCTTCATTCCCCAGCTGCTGGCACTGGCTTCCCTCTGGCACCCAGGACCTGGGCTTCCCTCTGGCCACTGGCAGGCACCTGGGACCCAGGCTTCCCTTGCAGCCCCAGCTTCGTCCAGAAAGTCATCCAGAAGGATGTCTTTGTCTAATTAGCATATTATGCTTTTATTATTATAGATTTTTCTTATTATGTGTTTTCCTAGAATATGTTTGGTAATGGCCCTGGGAGATTCTTTACTAGGGAGTTAAGCTTTACTAACATATTTTCTAACTTTGAACAGCACGGTCTAGGCTTGCTACCCATGAAGGTCTAGTCCAGCAGTTCTCAACCTGTGGGTCACGACCCCTTTGGCGGTGTAATGACCCTTTCATAGGGTTTGCCTAAGACCCTGCATATCAGATATTTACATTATGATTCATAACAATAGCAACATTACAGTTATGAAGTAGCAATGAAAATAATTTTATGGTTGGGTCACAACATGAGGAACTGTATTTAAAGGGTCAGAAGGTTGAGAACCACTGGTCTAGTCAGAGCTCTTTATGCTTCATGTGAGTCTACAGAGCAGCAGGATGGTCAAACAAGGGAATACATCAAGTGGGAGACCTTGTATTAGGGTTTATATAGGCAGAACAACTGGATCTATCACTTTTCAAAGGTAGCTGTGCCAAGTAAATCTCTTTGTCCATTTCATAATCAAGATGTGTTGCAAAGAACTGTTAAGAGTTCCTTCAGGTTCATGAAGATGGCGGCCAATGGGACGGCAGGCTGCAAGATAGTGAGTGAGTGAGAGAGTGAAAGGAGAGTGCGTGGACATGCGGAAAGTGTGTATGTGTGAGTGAGGGACAGCTATATTCCACAGGACTGTTGGGAACTGGCGGACCAGGCTCCACTGGCTGGGTAGCCTTTACTACTGCTGAAATCTCTCCCGGAGTGGCAGGCTCTGCCACAGAGACTGCACCATCTTGAAGGGGAGAGTGGCTGTGATTGGAAACCCAGCCTTACCTTCAACAGGGATACCTCGGATACCTCCCAGGACCCTACAACCACAATGCCCAGTTGCCTCAGCTGTGAACCCACAAACACTGAAATTCCAGCCCTCCTGGCCACGGGCACCTAAAATGCTTGTCCAGGGGGAGACAAAATGGCACTGAATACACAGATGGGCCCTGCGCCTTCTCACAGAGCAGATAGAAGGAACAGCTGAATGGAATAACAACCACCCAGAATTGGTGAATTAAACACAGCTGGTGAGGCAATCCATGGATAGAGAGGTCAGAGATCGTCCAGAGCAGTGGTTCTCAACCTTCCTAATGCCACGGCCCTTTAATACAGTTCCTCATGTTGTGGTGACCCCCAAACATAAAATTATTTTAGTTGCTACTTCATAACTGTAATTTTGCTACTGTTATGAATCGTAATGTAAATATCTGATATGCAGGATGTATTTAGGCGACCCCTGCGAAACG